TAAGAGGGGGGGGGTGTAGGGGGGCAAAATGACCCAAACATTGTATGCACATATGAATATAATAATAAAAAGAAAAAAAAGAAACAGATGACCCTACAAGGGCTGGTATGGACTGAATGCTTGTGTTTGTGTACCACCAAATCACATGTCAAAGCCCTGACCCCCCACCCCATGTGGCTATGCTTGGAAACAGGGCATGTAAGGAAGAGGCTCAGAAGAAAGGGCTGTGGAGGGCCCAGCAGGAGGTAAGCCATCTACCAACCAGGAAGGGCCTTCACCAGAAACTGACCTTGCTGCAACTTGACCATGGACACTTAGCCTCCAGAATGGTGACAAAATGAATATTTAAGCCACACAGCCTAAGGGATTCTGTTTGGCAGCCTGAGAAGACTAAGACAAATCTGTTTGGACCAAGGCAAATCTCATCCAAAAAGAAAAAGAAAGCTTTAAATTTTCTGAACCTTTCCAGTTAAGAGCTGGAGTAGACGTAGAGGACAGGAGTACACATGCTCATAATTGTCCTTCTTTTAAAAAGAGAACATTATAAAGAAGGGCAAAGACTCCTCAGTTGATTCTCTGAAACTAGGATCTTGATAAATATTTGATGACATTTGATGAATGAACAGAACAAATGAATCAACAAATGGACAAAGGTCATAGCTGATGCTTTCTCTGACCAGGCTGCGGCCTGGCTCACTGTTCTAGGGAATATAAAATTACAGATATGCTCAAAATTTCCAGGAAAATGGTCTGTGGCTTAAGAAATAAGTGGATTTGGGTATGGATTAACTTTTTGCAAACTGACTTAGATTTTTAATTATTTAGACAAGGCCAATGTTGACAAGTCAGGAAGCTGCTCCCGGAAGGTGAGGGAGCCCTGCTGTGGATGTGTCTTTGGGAAGTTTGGGGTTTCCTAAATTCAGCATTAGTGAAGGAGGCAGGAAAAGTGAAATGATACAGAAACTAAGCAAGCTGGAGAGGCTCCTGCGACCATCGAGGCACCTCACTTCAAGGTGAACATTCTGTGACATTGACAGGGGTCATAGCTATCAAGTGGCAAGTGTGGTCTTCAGACTGCTAGGTCAGATCTTTCCAGCAACCTGTGATCCTTTGAGAACTGAGGGGAGCTAATGACTGTTACCTAAACTATGGCCTCACTACCACATAAAATTGTTTCAACAATTTAATTCTAGAATCATATTTATTAGATAGCTATTTTGCCATGTTCTTATTAGCACTGTGTTTTCCAAAGTGCTTTACTGTATCTTGTACCTCTTGGTAAACAAGAATTTTGAGGCTGTCTTCAATTTCTGTTCTCCACTTCCCCTCCTCTCTGCTTAATTTTTGTCTCATTTTTCTTGGTCAAAATATTTCCTTTGGGACCAGACAGGCAATTGCACAGGCAGAAGGCAAGAAGAGGGAGGACAGAGAGGACCAGAGAGCACATGCCAGTGGGTGGGAGGCAAATGGAGATGCCCCACTTAGCTGGGACCTCGGGCTGAGACAGTGCTCCTGGGAGCATACTGCTCCTGGCTCAGAGTGACAAACCCCTCGCTTAACTTTAGTACCTGTTAGAACAGGAATCCAACAAATATCATCTTAACATTGAGAGGGCCTGAACCCAGAATTAGTGACCTGAGCACTGGTCCTGATTCTAAGCCATGATCTTAAGCAAAGCAGTCGATCTCCCAGTGACTCAGGAGCGGGTGAGAACCAGGTTCCAGCAGCTCACTCATCCTGTGCTTCTACACAATAGCCACAAAGTGTGGCCCACCGATGTCTAGTATTTGTGGGGGTCTTTGTTTTGTGTGTGTTGTTTGTTTCTTTTTAAAAAACAAACAAAAAAAACAGGGTCTCACTATGTAGCCTAGGCTGGCCTCAAACTCCTGATCCTCCTGCCTCAGCCTCCAGAATGCTGGGATTACAGGTGTGTACCGCCATGTCAGGTGATATTTGCTGCGTCAAAGACACAAAAGAGTCAAAGTTTAAGATGTGCTATTCACTGGAAACAGCCCTTTACTTGAGGCTGCTGATTTCTACAACTGAGAGCATCCAGGTGGCAGTCACTGAAGTGCTCAGGGATTAGTGAGGATGCGTGCTCTTAAACCCATGAGGGAGTGGGGGAAGCCCCTGATTCCAGCTTAAGACAAAGAAGTCTCCTTTGGAGCTGGAGGAGTGGCTCAAGTAGTAGAATGCTTGCATAGCAAGTGCAAGGTCCTGAGTTCAAATCTCAGAACTGCCATTTTTTTCCCTTTAGAACCTAAGACTTGACTTTCTGGTCTCTTATTTCTAGATAGATTTTCCTGTCCTCAGGCTCTCAGGACCCCTTTTCCCTCTGCTCATCCCCATACCAGCACCCACTTTCAAGAACAATTTTCACTTATTCACACCAAGGTATAAATAGCTAATGAGACCGTACATGAGTCTTTCCATGGTTATTGATGATTTTGTCGAAGGTAACATCATTGTTTATCTTTAGCCAGGAGAGAAAAGAAATAATTGAATTTTAAACCCCAGCCAGACACATGCATTTTGTTTTGACACTTCTTGGCATATTTTGGTCTTGCCTTTCATTATCATCATCTAGCCTCTTCTGTCAGCTCACAGAGCTCGTCCTCAGTGAAGTCATGTCATGAGAGCTTATTAGAACTGCATTCCCACACCTGGAACTGTTCCCAATTCACAGTAGATGCTCACTAAATATTTACTGAATGAATTAGCAGACATTTATCATGTAGTCAGAGTGTTGGGAGAATGGTTGAGGTACAGTTATTGCTTTCCAGGAACAGACACCAACACTCAAAATGTGAGTTAGCAATAGCCATGCATGAGTATTCATTTTTTACCAAAGCCAGAAGCACAAAAATAAGGTTCCCTCTTGTTATTTTTTTAAAGTAGTTTTGTATAATTAAAAGATTTTCCATTGGGTAATAAAGGAAAGGTGGTGGTGCACATCTGAAAGTATAAATTATTCCGGAAGATCACAATGTAAGGAAGACTTCTCACAGGTTGTTAGCTTTATTGCCACAGGTCTATGAGAGACACATACATCTCAGAATACATGCCAATTTTTAAACCAAAAACAAGTGTGAGCAAAGCAGGTAAGACTAGGACAAAGGGGTAGACAAGACCCAAATTAATCTAAGGTCTTCTGTGGACGTGGCCTTTAAGGTTGAGAACTAACGATGAACATAGGCATGCCAGGAGCTGTTAGGGAAGGTTGGGAGGATCTTTACAAAGGAAGAAACAGTGTGTGTGAAGATCAAGAAAGAGCAAGGATAGCATAGGGTGGAAGATGGTCAGTGTAGCCAGAGACTGAGTGTGAGTGTGAAGAGAGAAGTATAAAGCAAGATTGAAAAGGAGTCAGGAGCCAGACTGAGGTGGAACTAACGACTGGGTTGGAGAAAGAGACAGGGTGACTTCATCTCCCTCATGAACTTGTGAGGCTACACAGGAAATCCCGAAAGGTATACCATCCATCCTTCACTTAAGCAAAATGAGCAACCACGTGCAAAGCCAACAAACTGACAGTGGGTCAAACCTTGCTTTCTTGGTCTATTCAGAATGGGATGTAAGTTGCTCTTGACATTGTCAGGAGTGAGTAGTCACAATACAGACAGCAGACTCCTCCACAACCCAACTCTTGAAACTACACAATAGGCAACAAGTACTAGCCCCCTCCTCCAATTCTAATTTTCTTGTGGAATATTTATTGTGTGTAGGACAAGGCATAGTTGAACGGAGAGAGTTTATTCTAATTGCCCTTGTTAAACAGTGAGATAGTGTCCCTGTGAAAATCACTGCAGAGCTGATCTTTCACAGTAAAACAAATACCCCAGTAAATTAAGGCAGAACATCAGACACATGTACATCAACTGTATGCTAAAGCACAAAGTTGATTATTATTTTTATGATTAACAAGCTACATTGAAGACTCTGCAGAGGGTAAATTTAGTGCTAACTGAAAGTGGGCTTGCTGCCCTCTTCACTCAGATGCTACTCTGTTTTCCAATCCAGATGTCACGAAAGGCTGTTTGAAGGTATGATGATGCTCAAGTGTGCCTCACGGCCCATGACTTCAAGTCTAGGATTTACTTCTGGACTTGGGCAAATCTAGCACCAGTTATTTATTTCAAAAATTTAAAAATCAAATGTGGCAAAAATACTGAGAAATAAATACAAATTGCTCACAGAACAATGCTTTTCTCACCATTTGGCACCCAGCTTTAGATGGTTTCTTGTACAACAAGAAGAGTATTCTGCTCTTAAATTATGCAAAAAAACCCAAAATTACTCCAAATCCCAGAAACTGGCAGGTACAAATGACCACTATCTTCTAAACACTCCAGGATTTTCTTCCTCTTTTCTTTTCTCCTATATTTCCCTCTTTATTCTCTTTCTTAATTCTATCTCTCTCCTCTTTCCTTATCAATAATTTCTCTATTTCCAACTGAATAACAATCACATAGCATACACACACACACCTATTTGTAGACATTTGATATACATTTATGTTTAATTGTGAAATCTAAATATACTAAATCTTCCATCTACACAAACTCATGAAAACACCTGTACAGGTCTACAGGCTATATCGGACAAAGTATAAACATCCCCACACAGACACAGTGATTACTAGGAGATGTGACATAAAAATGTTGGCACAGAAAATTTCTATGCCAAATATTTCACCAGTCCTCTGAGTAACAGTACCCTCAGTGACATTTTCCCTGCTTTCACTTCTGCCAAGGCTCATAGCAATTCAAAAGGAGTAACACGCAGACAACGGCCAGAACATAAACCCATGGAACTCACAGGTATGATATTTTAGCAACACACACATTTCACAGAATTACTCACTTGACCCACATTTTAAAGACTATTTTAAAGGTACCTGTGTATGACCTTTTGCAATTCTAACATGATCAACATTGTAGTTTTGCCTCCTTTGTTTAAATAATTCTACAACTGCAGTTTTAGCTTAGTTGAACTTAACTTACCTTTGGAAGTGATGCCGAGGATGAAAGGGAGCAGTACAAAAGCTGTCAGCATCATGTTGTCTGTTTGGGAAAGATAATTTCTTCCTTTTTAACCTCAGAGTGGCTCCATTGGAAAAGGGGGTTTTCAAAGAAAATTCAGTGGTTCGAAGTCCAGTGGAACCCAAGGGAATAGGGAGCAGCTGCCTGAGAATGAAGTGGTCTCAACCCTCTCGCCTCACTGCGATGCGTCTCAAAGTGCACTTCATCGATCTCCAGTGAGCTGTCAGGCCGTGTAAGTCTAAAACATATCTCTGGGTCCTAACTCCTGACTTATTAATTTACTCTCCAACAGAGTCGCAGGGTGACAGAGAAAGGACAAAGCTAGATGCTAGACGACTTCAGAATGCTCCCTGACACTTTTCTTATGGATGGAGGGCAATAAAAAGGAGAAGAATGGATTTTGTAATCTTCATCATGGAAGTTGGTGAGAAACTTGCCCTGTACAGCATCCTTGTAGTAGCTTCCCATCTTGGACTTGAGACTTACCAGGAATGAGTATGTCCGGCCACCTCCCTTGTCTTATGGTCCTCGTGTGTTTTGATGTAAGAGCATCTCTGTGTTCCCTTAACCCACCAGGTCCCCCTTATCCTTGCGCCAGGAGGTCTGGTGGGAATGCAGTCTTGCTGACAGCACTGTCCTTCCTCTGTCTCACCCTCTTCACACTTGACTGGATCTCATCTGGTTCCTGCTGTGAACACCCAGGATGCCTTGCAGGTGCAAGTGTAACAGGCAAGAGTAAATCGGGGCTAGAGAGACAGAGGGCCTGGGAAGCAGAGCTAGCTGAATGGGACAGATTACCCAGGATATTAATGAATTCACTTAGAGAGACTGATTTTGTCCAAGTTTAGAATTCCTCAGTGACATCCTGTTAAACCTCCACTGGTATGAGTCTTCTGTCACTGTAACAAATACCTGCAATAATTAACAAATAAAGAGAAAAGGGTTGTTTTGGATCACAGTTTTGGAGTTTTCAGTCAATCAAGTCACTATTATCTAGCTTGTATGCAAGCTTCAGCTGACCTGGTACTGTTTGTAATATGAAACTCAATGCCATTAAATAGGAGATCATCTTGGTACTAACACTGAGCAAAGAAGAACCCAAAAATAAGAATGCCGGCTTGATCATGGAGCAATACCCAGTTGCCCAAATTATCATCAGCTGTGTGTGACAGAATCAAAATACAGAACAGCCTCAAGAGGCTGGATTGCTGTGCCATACCAACAAGACAGACTAGCTTACTTAGTGACCACATTTGTGTGAGGTGGGACAAAAATCTGCTTTTCTGGTTTATGATCTTATTTCTACAATTTTTTTTTTACCAGTTTGGAAAAACTGAGTCACATTGGGGCATTCATTTGATTAATTTCCTTGGTTGCAAAGGATATAATTACGCAATACTGAGAACACCTTGGTCACCCTAAAAGTGGTGTCAGAGCAGCTTGGCCTTGCCTGCTAAGTCATCTAGCATGCGCTTTTTCTTTAGAGCAACGTGGTATTTAAAAAATTGAATATATTTACTCAGGAGAGGCCCAGGGTATGAAAAGAAAGCTCCAGAAGGAACAATCAAAGAGCAAAGAGTTTAGAAAAATGTCAGTCTGGAGAAGCTGTTGTCTTACCAGAAAATGCTCCCCTGTGACAGCTCACCTGTCCACACCAACCACGCTGTACAGTGAAGAAGGTAATCATTGCAGTGAATCACTCAGCTGGTGGTCAGAGTAGAGTCTCCCATAGTCGGGGCACTTAGCACGTTTGTATTGTTCCCAGTGCCCCCAGCCATAAAGCTTGGCTTTGGGTTCCAAGGCTGACCTGCATTCATACATAAAATTCCCAAGAATTAATTTATTTAGTTTTGGCTCAAACTGGTTCACACTGTCTCTGCTTTGTCCACAGCAGTGTTACAACTTATAGAAAGGATGGAACAAAAGCCGGGAAATATGCATATGGAGAGCTGGCTGTGGGCCTTGGATAAAGGAGCTAGGAGGTAAGTCCTCCTCCCAGGGCCAGGGCTTTAGGGGATCTTGGAGATGGGCCGTTTTCACCCCCAGCTGATATTTCCTGCAAGGATCTGGAGCTGAAAAAAGACAATTAAACCAGATTTCCTAATTCCGAGGGCCCCATTACAGATCCGTGACACTTCAGAAGTTACCCCATTGGCCAGGCACAGTGGCTCACTCCAGCTATCCCGGCTACTCTGAAAGCAGAGATGGAAAGGATTGTGGTTCAAGGTCAACCTGGGAAAAAATTTTATAGATCCCATCTCAGTCAGTGGCAGTGTGGGTCATGCACCTGTCATGCAGACCAGGTCAGACTGGTCAAAACCACAAAACCATATTTTAAAAAATAAATAAAACAAAAGGATGGCCGCATAGTAGAACGCCTACCTAGCAAGCACAACGCCCTGAAAAGAAATTCTCACTGTCCCCCAAAGCAATCGCTCATCCTTTGTTGCGTAGGATTTTCTTTGTGGATAATAGCATAGCTAGAGCTATGAAACCCTAAAATCCTGAGAGGGCCCAGCTCCTTAATCTCAACCTTTTTCTTCCACTGCACCCTTCAGAGGTATGACATTCAATCACATTTCTCGCTATAGAGATTGGGACCTCGCGGCTTTTAAATAAGGGTCCAGTTGAATCCCTCCTGAGCTCAAACCCTGAGAGTCAAGGACTTCTCAAAAAAAATCGCTTTGCACTTTCCCAGGTTTGGTGTCAGCAGAGCCCGGGACAAAGGACCAAGCGAAGAGGAGGCGTGGGGCTTGCGCGCCCCCTGGTGGCCAGCAGGCCACGCTGCAGATTCACGCAGACTGGCTTCTTTTTAAAGGATTATGCTCTAGATGTTATTTGTTCCTTAAAATTTCAATAAGAAAATAATAACTGTTTGCCGAAATCCCAAACTGAACACCAGCAGGCCCTGGGTGGCGATCTGCAGCTGCATCCGCGTGCAAGGACGCGGATGGCGGAGGAGCCCGGAAGGGGCGCCCAGGCTCCCGCCGCCGGGCCACGCACGGAGCTCCGAGGCTCGCGGCCCCGCGTCCTCCCCGGCTCGGAGTGGCGGCCCAGGGCCCAGGGCGGTGACGAGGGGCCGGAGTGGCGGAGCACCTGTGCCACCCCCAGCCTTCCACGTTCGTCACCACAGGGCGTCGGTGGCAATGGAGCCAGACCTCAGCCAGCACTGCACAGGGAAGGGCCGGGGCCATGGCGTGCGGCCCAGGCTGCAGAAGACAGCTGGGATCTCGGGGTGTCCCTGTGGCGGAGGGTCACATTGTCCCTTTATCATCGCTGTTATCACTGGTAAAGTAGCAGGGAGCAGGACAAGAAGAGAAACAGGCTATGTTCTGATGATGAGGCAGGGGAGTGTGGCAAAGCAGAGAGAAAACTGAAAAAATTGAAACATGAAGGTCACGTAGCACTGGGGAAATGAAATAGCCTATAAAGTCACATGAAGCCACACTTGTGGCTTCTGTAATCTGCTTGCAAGGGTATATAAGGTGAGACCCCCTTCTCTGGCCAGGAGTCCGCGCTGGATCTGTGTCCACACAATAAACGTTGCTTCCTGCTAATCTGCCTCAGTGTCCCCTATCTCAGCCTGAGATTCCCGCAACATTACAGTTGACGGTGTTTGAGACAGGGTCTCACTATATACCCACACTGTCCTGGAACTGGAGATCCTTCTGCCTCAGCCTTTGAGCACTGGGATTACAGCAGTACACCACTATATTCGGTTCTCCTTTCATTCTTTTCCAGCTCTCTTTTGGTTCTTCTCCGAAGCTTCATTTCCTTCTGTTGGAAGGACTGTCATCTTCACCACCATCATTTTTCAGTACTTTTTCCTGGACAGGATAACAGTCCAGCCACTACTCTGGTTTGCCAAACCTGAGGTTTGGGTTTTTAACAAAAGAAATCAGGTGATCACAAAAGCTTTTGCTGGCCCCTCCTGACGTGGGTGCTGGCCGGACAGGCTGCTGCTGAGGTGGGCTCCTGGCCTGGTAAGGTCTCCACATGTCCAATGTAGATAGATGCTGAAGGGAATGAGTGCTGGGGTCCAGCTGGGCTCTGAATGTGAGAGACCAGCCTGGGACTGGGCTAATGTGGTGCTGCAGGTGGGGAGAGAGTCTGAAGGCGGTGGGAAGAAAGTCGTGACTTGCAGCACTGAGCACACGGCTCCCAGCTGGAAGCACATGAGGCCTGGACAGGTGGTAGGCACAGCTGCCATGGCTGATAGGACTGGGCAGGGGGTGACAGCAGGTAGCCACTTGGTAATTGTCATCTACAAAAGAATGGAGCTATACAGAAAGAGCACTGGCCCAAGAATCAGAACCCTGACATTCACCCTTTAATAATTGTGGGAAAACCTTGCAAAATAACTGTGGCAGGCATCAGATTCCTCCATCAGCAGGTTGGGTCATATGGGTCGTTCTCAACCCTGGGGCTCATTAGAACCCCTTAGGGAGTTTAAAAAAAGTCACTGTGTGGGTCTTGCACAGGGACGTGTGCATTTGATTGATGTAGGTGAGGCTTAGGAACTGTCTTGTAAAAGACTCCAGCAGAGAGTCAAGCTCTCTGGGGTCTGAGAATTCTGAGTCCGTGTTACACCAGTCACCCTGCTTTGCCCTGGACTGTCCCAGTTTTGACACAGAACTCTTCTGTCCAGGAAACTCCGGTCTCAGGCCATATTCCACATCACTCCACTGTCAACAGTAGTATGAACAGAAAGAGCAGGTGTGCTCGGTCCCTGGGTGGTGAGTTTGTGCTGGAGCTTGTGTGTTGCAATTCCACCAGGCCTGTCAGTAAGCAACTTGATGACTCCCCACGCACCTGCCACACAGTGTTTTAAGTGTACATTTGTGCAAAACCTGCCCTGCACTGAGTCCCCGAGTTCACACAGCAGCATCCTAGCCTGACTCATGTTCTCCAGCCCTGCACCTTGTGAGAGCATGCTGTTTTTCAGACTCAAGAGTACCATGAGAGATTCAGAGCAGGGTGCTTTAAAGACATTCACTCATTCAGTAACTGTCTATTCAATCTCTGCCTAGTGCCATTATCTCCCCCACAGTCACCCCACCACCAGGTCATGTTCTCTCTGTCAACACATATTCTGAGTTCCAAAACACATCCCTGCCAACTGTCTCAGCTCTG